TTTCTTAAAAAAAACATCATAAAAATGATGAAGAATTACACAATTGGAAAAACAAGAAGAAAACAAGCAAACCCAACAACATTGACGAAGAAAAAGGAATGAAAAGTGTGCATCTATCTGTTCCCAAGGCATTGTAGACTGTTCCCATGCAATAAAATCCATGGATTCTGCAGACAATAGGAATCGTGCCATGCATCTGGAGCCTTCTGGAGAGCAGCTCAGATTCTCTTGCTCACTGAAGCAGGTTTTGCTTTTGCAGATTTTCATTATTATTGTTATTGTAGTTGTTTTATTACACTAACATTCTTCACCTTTGAGTGGAAGTTGTTTACCTCCATTTATACAAACAAGCACATTTTCCACAACATGTTTTTTTGATGAGTGTACATCATTCGGCTTGTACATTATTTGTTCAGTGTTGCATATTTTTTTTTTTAGTAAGTGCAAGTTAGATTTCTTGAGTAAAATGATTGTATGTAGATAAGTCACATTAAAAGAAAGAGTTTTACAAGTGAAAATAATAAGAAAAACCATGGTCCATTTGATTGAGATTGACATCATATTGTGTGTGTGTGTGTGTGTATATATATATATATATATCTATATATTATTTGGTTAATTTTTTTTTGGTAATGTAAAAAATAGTGTAAAACATGGTAAACATTTAGTCAAAGAAGAAGGGATAGAGACAAGTGTAATAAGAACTTCTGGACAGGAAAACAACACAACGGGAATGAAACACATCTCTTTTGCTTGTTTTAATAAAACACACTAACATATGTGCTAGAATTGTGTGCCCTTCCTTGCCTTCAGACTAGTACATTGAAGCATGTTATTGATGTAGAAACATGTATAATACAATGAAAAATTACATTCCACAGAATATGACTAAGAATCATACAGAGGCATAAATATTGATCAATTGAATATTATACATAAGGAAATTATATGAATCATTCACATTTAAGCTGTTCTTTTACATTACATTGTTTTCATAGAAAACCCAGTCAAAATTTGAAAATAGTTGTATGAAGAAAATATCTACAATACTAGATTTTTAAAAGCAGATCACTATATTTGGATACATCAATTTTACCCAAAAATATATTATATATTATTAAAAAATAAAAAATATTATTTGGTAAAGAATGATTCATATTAATGCATATATATTGAAGAAATATTAGACTATGCTTTATTCTTGTAAATTGGACAAATTATTGTTAGACCTGTTTTAAGAAGTGATCTTTGTAAAACATACTATTCATTCCTATGCAATGGTATTTATGATGAATCTATAGATAAATATTCAGGTACCTATATTTTTGTAAATATGATAATAAATATTTAACAATATATGCAGTGAATTTTTCCATCGATTGTAAAACAAGTTGGAATTTTTAAATATATATTTGTAACAGTTTAAAATATTTATATTAATCAGTTTTTTTTAAATAATTTTATTTTTTAATGATTTTTAAAATTTATCTAAATCATGGAAAATTTTATAGTTTTTCAAAATCATATTAAAAAGATAAAAAATAATAATTGAAAAATTATTTATCTTTTAAAATTTGTAGAACAACCACTTGAATGGTAATTGTTTTATTCTAAAGCTGATTTTTATTAGTTATTGAAGTATTGTAAAACTTGAAAGATCATTGTGCAATTAAATTTAAAGGCACAATGATCTTACAAGTTTTAGGCACCTAAAATTATTTTGTACCTAAAATAATAAATAATCAAAAATAAATTTCAAGTTTAAAATTTAAAATTACAATTTTTTTTTTAAATAAATTAATCACTAACTAAGATATAAGTATCTAATCGGTGGCTTCAACAAAAAAAATATATTATTTATAAAAACTTTTTCCTAAAAGGTTTGGTAAGACAAACTAGATCGGTTTCTTATTCTATCAAAAATATTATTTTTATGAATAACATAATTAGCCCCCTATTATATATATGGTACTACAAGCTAGCCTCAATCGTCACAAACTTGATTACAAAAGCACCTTTTTTTTTACTCAACACTAGCATATTATTTTAGATCAACAAATTTTTTACTTATTAAAGTCCTTTATTCTAATAAAATTCTATAAATAAAGTATGCAAATTAAGAAAATAGTATTTTTTTATTGAAGAAAAAAAATATCAGTTTAATATATATACATATTGAATAGTAATTAAAAACACACATTTCAATGTTTATCTATATATGTATATATAGGGAATCGTTAAATTTATCCAAAAATTTACTAAATTTATCCACCCATCATCATTGGTTTATGATCCAACCATTTTATCATTGATTTTTGATCAATGCGGATCTCACCTTGAGAATGTTTTGATGATGGCTAGGATAGGGACAACAATTTAGTAAATACATGGGTCAATTTAACAATTCCCTATATATATATATATATATATATATATAAATTGAACATCAAACATGTTTTGTAAAAAAATATTTATGTTACTATATTTATATCAATTTATAAAATAAGATGCATACACATGTGTTCAAAAATGTACTTGTATATGTATAGACCAATGATTGATGAATTATTTTTTGTTAATACTAAAAATAAATTTCAACATTTCAAAAACCATGATCATTCCCATCAATGTAAACATTTCCATACTTAGAGCTCTCTGCAGAATAAGTTAATTTTGATTTTTTTGTGATATTCTATACCTAATAGATGATTTTTATATATAACTAGTATAATTTATATAACCATGTTGTGGAAATATTTTTTTATTTAATAAAAAGAAATTCTTACAAAATTACTCTAAATACAATAAGTTTCAGGTTCTTGTTTCTATATAAATAACTTTCATTCATTATATTTTCTTCAATTTCTAGTATATGTTCTCTTTTATCAACTCTTTTGAGATTTAGGTAATCAAATATCTGTTTTAAGGTACACGGTTCACAAACAGTAAAACAAATTTCGCTCCATAGATTATCAAAATTCCACCAAATTCAGCACACCTTTTTCATGAATATACTATCACATATTACTTGGGGTCTAATTTTTTAACTGAACGCCAAATCCTCTCTAGACAATGGCAGAGAATGAAAGAAGGATACTTCAGGCAGGTCAAGAAACAAAAAAAACAAAACAAAATACAAAAACATTAACAACAACAACAACAACAACACTAGACGGAGCGGAAGAATGAAACACCAACAGATGGAGATAGAACAAACAATAAAGGGAAGATAGAAAGCTGGGCTTGGTGACCGATAAGCCAAGCTCTACACATCCAGCATTGCTGCCATTGAAGCACAATTTGCAAGAGGGGCAGAGGCAGACACAGAGCGAGAGAGAGAGAGAGAGAGAGAGTGCATGCATGAATGCATGCAAATGAAGAAGTGGAAGAAGATTGAGAAGAAGAAGTGTATAAATGGAGGTAAACAACTTCTACCAAGAGCAGGGTGGTGCTCTTTAGCCCTCTGCCCTCTTTGATACTCGCAGACCACAGCGGGGACCCAGTAGCCGCCGACAATGCAGAACCTGCTGCAGGGTCCTGCACCTGTATGCGCGGTGCCTTGAGCTCGCCAATGAAGGAAGACTGGAAGAAAAGACAGGATTGCGTGCTGGTTGTGGACCAACTTGGGCTTGCACATCGCCGCTGTGGCTGCTGTAATCCTGGATTGGTTTGGTGTTTGAATAGCTCAGAGTTTGTGATCCGACGGCGGCGCGGACTGCGGCGCTTCCCTGGACATGGCAGAATCTGAGCATGTCTCTCACACAACCTGCTATTGAGTAATCGCTTGCGTTGAATGATCATGGTTTTCTCAAGATTGCTATGGCTGTTAATCAACACTGCAAAATAAGGTTCTAACTTCCAAATATGAACAAAAGAATTCGTGTTAGAAAAAATCCTGTTTATCTTCTCAGTTTGTGTATTTTGTGGAATTCGTTGATCCAAGTTTGTAATCTGGTCTTTTTTATGTGTGATGACTACTGCCATTTGATAATGAGTTATTACTATTTTCTTCTAATAACACCAGTTTGAATCAAATTTATATTTTGATTTCTTGAAATAGTAGGCAAAAGATTGTGGTTAAGTATTTTGACATAAAACAAGGGCAAAACGTATAACAGCCATACGGTAAGAGACTTATTTGTGTGAACGTTTGAAAAAAGAACTACAAGTGACTAATGAAATTAATTAAAATTTCAAGCAAAAGTAAAACATTTTTGTGATTGTTTTTAATTTTATGTTATGGTTTATGCATTATGTTAGTTTGTTTAGTCTCTCATTTGAATTGGAAAATTTGAGGACTAAGAATTTGGGGTTGATACAAGGACAACATGCATCTTTGTGAAGGTTAAAGAATACTTTAGAGTTTTGTATTTAACTTACAACATTTTGATAAAGTTAATTTTATTTGAATATTTTATGTTATTTTTCATGAAAATATCCAAAACAAAAATGCTAATTATGTTAACCATGCTCAGAAAGGCTGTAATCCTTGCCTTACATATATATATATATATATATATATATATATATACGTTGCTTATAAAAAATAATTCCTTGAAAAACTTTTAACTAAATTTTTACAGTGGTTTCAATATTTTTGTCCAATATTGAATTTGTTTTAAATTACTTTGATTTCTAAAATAAATTGGTAAATTCTTCACGAAACACCCATTGTTTAACTATTTCTTTATAATCTTCTATTGTCAATTTCAGTAACATCTACGTCAGAGGGGAAAAAACAATAATTACAAAACCTCCACTAAAAAATGCCTTTCTCAGGTAACATAGGCTTTGAAATAACTACTGAACTAATCTTTAGACAAGAAGTTACAGAGTTACAAGCCAGAATCAAACATTCTCCTAGGTTGCTTGATCAAGTGCACATTAACATAGTGACGACAGAGCAGCTTTAGAAGCAAGCATGAGGACAATGGTGGCAGCTAAATCGAGACATCCAATTTTGAAGGTGCAACAAGCCATCACATCTGTCAGACCAGGAGTAACAAAATTAGTGGAAAGAACGTTCCTCAATGAAGACGTAATTTACTTTCAGAATTCTTGATACGAAGTTGTAATAATCATCGTGAAATCTTAAAAAAAAAAAAAACATGTTCTCTGAACTGAACGAATCAGTCTTAAAACGTCTGCACAAAGACAACTTCGAACCCTTCAGAAGTATACTGTCATAGACAGCATATATTCTGTATACAACGTTAACTCCCCTCTCTCGAAAAGGTAGAGCAGTAATGAGCACTTCAGCTATGTACACGACTAGCTAGTCTAACAAAATCGCTTAACTTCTCCACAAAATCCTTGCAAGAGTGCTGAAGAAAAATGGAGACAAGTTAACAGAAGAACATAGAATGCTCTGGCTTGATCTTTAGAACTGGAAGATCGGGAAAAGGGGGCTTTGGAGCACCGCCTTCTTTCGAGCTCCTGAAAGAAGAAGTGTCTGAACCCCCTCCCATGGTGTCCACCAACTTCCTATACCGCGTTGCCACGACATGGGCATAAGCTGCTGGGGCCGCTGCAACAAAATACCCCGCAAGTAAGAAAAAGAATTTACGTAGTAACATAAGACAAGAGAAAACATCGAAATCCTTGAAGCGGCTTACCCATAGAAACTGATGTTGTGCAGCGGCCAAACGTGTAGCACAAATTGTTTGTCAAGCCCTGAATGTCATCAGGCGAAAGCTTATTTTCATTCACGAGAACGTGATAGTGCGTGGGACGAGACGTACCCTGCATCCCAGCCAAATTCACATATTCGCTGTTTGAATACGGTATAGAAGAGAGGAAGTTAACAACGGTTTTTGGGCAATAGAATCTTTGAAGGAATTCCATGAAGTAAGGCGAAAGATAGATTACAATAAGGCCAGCTTGAGAGACGAGGAAAAAGTCATAGTTGTGAGGGTGGCAAGCGTCCTTGTCGACAACAGTTCCTGCACTTTCAGCGTGGGCTCAGCTAAAATTCTGCAGAATAATGGCACGAAAAGATATAGCTCATGCAAAACTTAATTGCCTCGACTATAAGAGATAACTAATACCTGGAAGAACGTTTCCATTGCGCATCTGATTGTCAGGGCCTTGAGGAAAGAAACGAGTATTGTGTCGCTTTTGAGCAACAATGAAGGTGATACCGGGATTATATCCTTCTTCCAGTTCTGCACATGCCTGTAAATATAGATACGTGTTAATGTCCTAGAGACAGAAAATTTTAGTATGCTTAACAAATGAGTAGTAATGGGCCTGCATTGTACCCTTTTAAACGCAGTAAACTCAACCTCCAAACATTCTGCAAACTGACTTTCACTGATTCCATCCCTGAAAATATAAGCAGGGACTTTAGCTCAGCATGTGGGAACATGGGCATATTAAAAGGGATCATGAGGTTATCACAGCTCATAATCAATCACAATACAGAAGAATGAGGAATTAGAACAAGTATGCTAGCATTTTAATTTCTTAATATAAGTAATTAAGTTCGTTTACACATGGGAAATACCCAACAGTACCTGTAAACAATTATTTGGGTTGGTTTGCGATAGTTTGGACTTCTGCATGATATGTAGTATGCTTTCAAGCATTCCCTGGCATACAAAAGGATGTTATCTCTACCACACATCAAGAATTAAATCTCACAAAACTAAGCAATATCATAGGCTTCAAGAAGATCCTTAGAAACGTCATGAAATGGCGTTCACATTATTTAAATATAAATAAAAATTTACGAACATAAAGCAATAAAAATTCTTACTTGACCATTCCACCTTTCGAATCGTGGAGCCCTTCTATCATCTCCGTTTTGGCGGGCTGAATTCTCACTTGCGTCGAGTAGTGAAAAACGTCCGGCCAATTTTTGGTTGCAACCACGGCTGCAATCGAAGGGACACTGGATTCTCCAGGCGACCCATGCGACACGTCCATCCCAAAGATGATTGTCGACGGGCCAAGACAGGAAACCATTCTGGGGCTAAGCGGCGAATTGAATCCCCCCATCTGTGGACACATACCTCAGTGTCAACCTGTGAAACATACATTTCCAAACAATGCCGAGCAGGGATCTACTTAGATAAGACGTTTTCCCTTGTGAATTTCGCGAACATCAATTGCTAATTATGTTATTAAGATTACGTAAGTCAACCCTTTGTACCTTGAGATTAATCTTCAAGGCGAGATTTCCCAGGTATTGATCATTAAGCTGTCGAGGCTTCACCATGCACTGCGAAACAACCCCAATCTTCATCTCACAGAACCGCTTGAATGGAACTGCCACGAAAATGATGTATATTAGAAGATTTGAAAGCATTAATGACACATTCTTAGTTGTCAAGTCTCAAAATGATATCATAAAAAAGGAGACAAAATGTATACCATATATTGGACTGTCTTTGTCAGGTAATATGACCAGGATAAATACAGGCTTTGTCTGCTTTAGTGCGGTAATCATCCTCTCAACCCGTTGTTCAGGAGAAAATCTCTGAGAACTCGGGGGCTCTTTCTCCACAATCGCTGCTTGCCGCATTTGCATTCCTCTCTTGCAGCAACAGTCGACCAAACTTTCTGCGATGCGTTGACCATCACTGCAGCGCCCATCAAATATAGCAACAGCCCAGGTATCGATTCTTGCTCCTTGCTTCAGTTCCTGCTTGCAATGACCAAGATCACACCGAACTTAAATCAGATTGCCGACTTGAGAATCACACCTGGATTAGATAAACGTCACTACCTACACAAGAAACACAAGCCCAGAAAATTTGAATATCAAATTTACGAAAGTAGTACCTTCTGGTTGAAGTTCCACCGTCCGTCCCTTGGTTCCTCGGTCCTTCCATGTCCAAACTCAAGCTAGCAGCACAGAAGAGGAATGTTAATAATGACACTTTTTATTCTGGTAATAGTTTTCTACCACCAGTGATCACGAAGATCTGAAATTCAAGCTATAGACAAACACAATTGATACCTGAGGAGGTCTTAATATCCTGCCTGTGACACCGGCCAGACTGCTCTCAAACTTCAGACCGAACTCTGCTATCAGCTTGTCGGAGCTGTACTTGCTGACTTCCATAGCCTGAAGACGAAAACAATTATATTGCAGTACGAAAGACTGAGTATGTCACTGAAATTGGACATATAAGTCAATGCGTTGTCCCACTCACATTCTCACAGATCCTCTGACGCTCCTGCGGAGACTGCTTGCAAGCGGCGATCTGCAATTGCCTTTGCTTGCTGGATAGAGACTTGGTATACCGTTGCCCAGCGATAATCTTACACAGCTGCATCAAGAGAAACGAGTAACGCTAGATTTGAATTAGGAATTTGGAGACCCAAGACATCTCAAGACGGACCAGGGTAATGAAATGTACAGGTTACCTCCAATGGTAGGAACGTGGCCTTCTTTTTGTTCCCGGAAACAAGTGCTGGAAGGTCTGGGAACCTTAGAGTGTACATGTACACGTCAGAGTAATACTGTTGTACTGAAATTTCCTCTTCCCCAATATTGCCTTCACCATCTTTGACCCTTCTCGAGAACCTTGAGCACCAACCAACGACAATGTTTCAGAAGCAGAAAATCTTATTTACCAGATATGCTGAACTCATGTTAAGACAAAGCATCCAAATAGGTAGTGCATAAAACTGAACTTACTTGAGATCCCGAATGGCACGGTCACTGAAACCTGAGATTTTATGTTCGCGTGACACAGACATGTGTGTTGTTTCGACCTTTACACCTTTAAGGATGGACTTCGCTTTAGTCCAGTTTCTTGCTTGCAAGCCATTCAGGTCTCTGACACCGAAATATTCAGCAAGGAATTTCTCTACCGTAATGGGCTTCAGTATAGTTGTCATGGTGACATCTGTCACATCCAAGCACAGCAGTTAGTACAATGCAACGCAATTGCGGAAGCATATACCACATTCAATTTCTTTATGATTATCCAAAAGTTAATCTCACTGTAACCAACTATCCACTGCAACCAAAAGGCTCAAATCAGTGTTTTTCGTGCTTTAAAGGTGATGAGCAGAATAATTTGCAGATCAAGACCATGAAAAAGGAATTACTGCCACTCACCAAGGTTGAGAGTCAACCCCAATCCAGTTGGCTTTATACTCGAGTGATAACCTCTCCAAGCCTCCACTCCTTCTCCCAAGTCGCCAACCGGACCCAACTCTGGATGGAAGAAATTGTCCCTAACAAGAAGATAGCCTCTGCAAAAGAGTAAAGCCATACATAGGTTTTTTTGTACAGTGTATACCAGAAGAGAGGGTGGGAGGAAGAAAACAATCAGTAAAGGTCCATAATTCGGGGCATCGCATCAGCACACCTTTCGGAAGCATTCTCACGAAGCACTATATCCAGCACGCGCAATGCATCAAGAGCTCGTGTCTCCTGGTCCAAATCACCCTTGCCCATCACTCCCTTCATCATGTCATCAATAACCTTCATCCGAATAGTGGCCGCGAATTCAATTTTCACCGAAAACTCTCTTCCCCGGGACACGGTCTTTCTCCTTTTCGGAAAGACTTCTTGACCTGCATGGCCAAACATTCAGAGACGTAGTAACGACGTCCAACTTAAAATGATTCACCCCCGAATTGAAGGCCCGCACCTAAAACTTGGTACACCCATCGTATACCTGTAGGACTGTGCGTTGATGTACTGTCGCCGGTCTTTCCATCCCGGTCACCAGGTCGATACGAGGAGCCTTTTGAATCCTCCAGGAACACTGGGAACTCCTTTGTATTGAAAGACAAGCTACCGCTTGTAAACAAGCAGTTCTCCCCATCGTAAGCACCCTGCTTTCCACCGCACTCAGCCTCCCCATATGTCTCCCGGAGCTTCTTCATGATCTCACGACATTGCTTCTTGTCCTTCACAGATGGCTCAATCGACACCTACACAATGGCCCAACAAGTGCCAAGTCGGCACAGCAAAAACAAGAAAATACAAGAGCTTTCATGAAATCAAACCATGGAAAACATAGGCCAAAAAAAAAAGAAAGACGGTGCAAAAGTACTTACACTATATTGGTAAACGTCGTCCCATTTCACTATGCTGGTTTTGAAGTGATTCATACACAATTTAGAAGGACGTCCAAGCTTTCCAAAGCTTGGTCTTGTTGCTTTCTTCGGCAAGGGAATTCGAGCCAGCGCTGGTGAAATCGGGGCAGAGCTGCCGCTGGCTCCCTTTGGAGTTCCGTCATGACCAGTGTGACCTTCGTTCGGTTCACGGTTGAGCCCAGACGGAGGCAATGCCTTTTCATAGCCTGGGGATATGGCAGGAAAAGCTCCTGGGGGCACCGGCGGAGGCGGTGGCAGGGGGAGCCCTACTTCAGACATTCCTGACATGACTTCGGCACCGTCCATCGCGTGTGCTTGCGAGCGGCCACAGACGACAGTGACGAAATAATACCAGCTCCTTCAAAGATCGTTCGATCTCATTGCCTGTCGATCCCGGTGAGTGCTGCCTCCGCTCCTGTCAAGCACAAAACAATTCACTCAATTTAGGCAAAAAGTCTCACACGAACACCTCCAGAACAGCAAATTATTGAGGCAGGTTTCTCCACCGAGAGTCTTCCTGCGTTGATGACCACACTATATTCCAGCGTAAGGAAGGTAAGGCAAATGAGAATGAAAGAACAGCTTCCAAAATACAAAATACAATTGACACTATTGTTACCTCAATGATCCACCCTCGCTACCGCAGTTTGTGAACGAAATACCTTGTCACAAAGAGGAGTCCCTTCCTCCAAGTATCTGCCTGGGGAGGCAATGCCAAGATCTCACAACCACCACTCGCAGCGAATTCTTCTCCTAAAACAATCAAACCCAACACAATGCAAATGAATACTCGCACTCCAATACTCTAAAACCCAAACTCTCGCCAACAGAACCACACCTTTTGTGCAGCTATTTTTATGACATTATTCGCTCACCACGGCTGCCGACATAGGAAAAAGTATTGTAATTTGCTACTATTCATGAATAAACATCCCACTCAAAATTCTCCCGAAATCTGACACATTTGAGCACAAGTTTCTTCGAGCAGAATCTCCCTTGCAATACAGAAACAATTTGAGCTCATCACCACCGAAGTAATGAACTGAAACCCCTCTTGAGAAGGAGATCACAAGACGCAGGAAGACGATGGGTAGAATGCAACAAGTCACATCCCCATGATCACCGCTACTTCACCCACCACCCTAACATCGCCAACTCATATCCGAAAAGCACTTGTCAGCGTGATTGGACCAGACCTTGAAACTGCAACTGTATTTCCCTGATCTCCATGCACACTCACTCACTCACGCACCAAGAGGTCATCATCTGCGCGATTTCGTTTTCGTTTTCTCACTGGATCCATAATGGTAACTGGTGGGCAGTGGAGCAATTAGATTTGACATATCCCGAGGATAAGAGACACTGCACCTTTGAAGTTCAATGCGCTTGATTGCGAACCCATCTCGCAAACACAAACAAGCTGCCATTTTGAGCATAGAAGAAGAAGACCATGGAATCCGTTTTTTGGCTTTGGCTGAAGCTTTTTGCCACCTCTCTGGTTGCCTTTGTAAGTCGTGTGTGTTTTCCACTTGATTTCTTTGTAAATGAGATTACATACATTTCCCAATTATCGGTACTTATCTAGGTTCTAGGGTTGGGTTGATTAGTGGATGGAATGTGGTTCTGAGTTGAAGTGATGCAAACATGATTTGATTTGGAATTTTAAGAGAATGCCTCATTGAGTTTGGCATGGGTGTTTGCATGATGTCCTATATCATGATATTTTGATGCTGAGTTGATTTGTGTTGTGGTAGATACAACCTTCTGGGTAGAAGACGTGTTGACTGCAGTCAAGGGAGAAATGGATTTGTCATGGGTTGTCCAGATGAATGGAAATCAGTTTTATATGGACAATGTTAGTGCATTCATGTGTTTTTACTTTTGAAACACTTAGCCTCACACTTGGTATTAAATTTTTTGATGAATGCATAATTGCTTCAAAAATGATTTGATTTTACTTGTAATATTATTAAAATATTTTCGTCATATTTTATAATAAAAAATTTTATTCTTACTAATGTGTGGTGTCAACTTACCATAATATTAAAAAATATAAGTTGATGTTATCTACAATCATAAAACATGATATGGATAATGTAATGAGAATTTTTTAAACCTCGTAAAATACAACATCTAATATATATATATATATATATATATATTACACATATTTTATAACATGTCCATTGATATTTGTAATAACAAAAGATAAATATTATAATTATTTTATAATATATTAGCACAAATAAATAAATATTAAGAACTAAAGAAAATCAATCCAAAATTATAGATTATAAATTTATAGATATTATAAATTAATAGTATTAAAATATATATATATATATATTTAAATATAAATATAAATATGATAAATAATTTTATTTTAATATTTAATATATAAATATAATAAAAATTAAAAGATAAAAAAATACCAAGAAATTTAGAAGTATAAAAGAAATAAAATTAAAGATTAGGAATAAAACTAAATTAAAGAATAGATGCAAAACAATATTTGAGTTGTTTAAAAACTTATCTTGGCAAGATTAAGGAAATTCTTATATTTTAAAAAATAAAATAAAAGGTTACAACTTTCAAATCCTTTCATTGACTAAAATTTTAAAAATCTCACTTGGTTAGTTTTATATTTATAAAATTTAATCTAAAACCTATTAAAAAAAAGTTAAAGTACAATGCACTCTTCTTATAAATGGTATAAATAATATTGTTGTCTAAAATTTGCAATTGGTCTATCTCAAAGATATATGTTTTTACAAAAATTAAAATTCTTTACTTGATAAAACAAATTGCAAAGATTTTTATACCATAGCCTTTTAAAGTGGACTTCTAGGTATAAATCCAAAAGATTCTTCACATAAAGATAGTTGATGACTTCTTTGTACTATTGATAATTTAATATTTAAATAAAAAACCATCCTATTTATCAATCAATATTAAGATCTTTATAACTACTTATAAATAACATATTATAAGTTCTTTGCATCATATTGTAATTGATTAAGAAATAATTTAATAACCAAAATATAATTTTATTCAAAAATAATTGTTAGTTGTTAAAATTGTGATTTATATATTTAGAAAAATAGATTTTTTTATCATAAGACTTAGATTTTATTACTTTGTGTATAAATTGCATCATATTTATTATTTACAAATCAAAAAAATTCTATATAGCATTAAAATTATCAAATATAGGTTTTTATTATTTTTGATGATGAGATTTAATTAAAAAAAAATATTAATCAAAAGATTAATAAATTTAATTTAGGATGTTTAAGTTGAAAAACTAAAAGGTTAAAATAGATAAGAACTTAAACTTGATTGGTGAATTTTCACAACTTGGATCTAGTACAATTACACTTCTCTTAGTTCTTTATTTAGTATAATTATATTTATGTAAGTTACTTGAAGTAGTACAATTATTGAAGAAACTCTTGTCAATTCTATACCTTTTCAAATAATCACTTTTAATGTTGGTTGAAGTTTTAGATAACATTAATAAATAAAAAGCATCAAATTTCTCATTTGTTTAAGTATCTATTCAACGGTATTCTTTATCTCTACTAAAAATATACTTATTGCAAAGATTTAAGAATTTCTATACAAAAAAGAAAAAAAAATATGTTTTTTTATTTTACTTTTTTTTTTTTTATAAAATAGAATTTAAAACTTAATAAATTTTATGCAAATATGCCTTTGATCCGAATAATTTATTATTAAAATCTTTTTTTAGCTCTTTTCATAGTTCAAGCCATGTATAGCGCCATTTTTGGCACTTTTGGGAGCTCTTTCTACTCCCCTTCGCTACTATTGCCTTAACGCCCTTGTTGTTGTAATTTCATATTACTTTAGTTTTGTCCAGCCTTTTAAACCTCTTGTACTCCATGTATGTGCTATAGTACACTATTTGTGACTCATGAATAGAGCCTGAATTGTAGATAATTGAGACCAGTTCCCTCGGTTATTGTATGTCTATTCAATAAAAAAAATTGTATTTAATTAGTAAATATTCCTATCAGATGCCTTGTTCTTTGAGAGGAATGTTGAGAATGTGAAAAACCTTTAATATTTGTAGTTGCAACACATAATTTCATTTGTAAAATCTGCAATTGCTTAGATTGTGTGCTTGTTACAGTTTTTGCTCATGTGAAAGAAGATTTTGCCCCTCTTTATGCTTCTTAATGACTTTTAAGACATATTATTCTAAGTGTACCTAGAAGCTCATTGCTTGTGAAGTATCAATTCTTGCTAGCGCTAAGTTAATATGAGCACAAGGAGTTCTTGGATTGTTTGCATTCACTTGCCAGCTTACACTCTTGTCTTTTCTTTGTGAAGATTTGTTATGCTAAAGCTACTGCCATTGACTACAATTTAGTTTAATTGCACTCATATGGGATTATGAATATTATATATTTCTACCATGTTTGTAAATATATCACTAGTTGCCATAAGAAAAAGAAAATATTGCTTCTTCAATACTTACAAATACTCAGTGTGCATGCTTTTAGGTCTGATACACTTATAATAAACAAAATAAAGTTTTTTTGTAGGAAAGAAAGTGTATCTATAGATATGTATATATATATATATATATATATACATATATGCACACACTTAAATAAGCATCATTAAATATGTACATAAGTTTTTTAATATCTATTATTTGATGAAATTTAGTTGTCTTACTTTGGTTTGTTTTTGGCATTTCTATTTTGTATTATTTTTTTATGCATTAATATTTGACATGGTGTTGAATGAACAAGTTGAATGAACATTACTATCTTTGTTATCTTATACAAGTTTTTTCTTTTTATATTATATTTTATTTTTTATGTCATATTATTATATTACTTAAGATTACTACAAATTTATTTTTCTACGTTTTTTTTTCTTATCATAGGATATAAATGATTTGAATTTAAACAACACTAATATTAAGAATAAGAAAATTATAATTAAAAATAAAAATTTTGTAGTTAATCTTGAACTATTAACTATTGATCTATGAAGTAAATCTATATAACATGTACATAAGTTTTCTTTAGAAATGTAAAGTCTTAATTAACCTTTGCAACAGATAATTTATTTACAACACTATATCACAAAGTACCTTGCAATCATCAAAGAACCCTATTCATCACCAATATATAAATATATGTATTGAATCTTTATGCATCATTATTACTTGTTATAAATCTAATTTATTAATAGTTTAGACATTCATATTATCATTTTATTCTAATATTTTTGAAAGTAAACTTATAAAGAAGTGAAGTCACTATACAAGATTTTTGAGAAGTATATAATGTAAGAAATTTTAAATAATAATAATAATAATAATAATTAGATATAAATTTTAGACACGCAACTTATTGTTTTATCATTTTTTTTTTTTTTTTTTTTTTTTTTTTTTTGTATGTAGTGTAAAGCAGAAGCTTACTATTTGTGATCTGTTATAACAAAGATAATAAAAAAAGTTGCAATAAAATGATATAAATTGTAATTATCTTATTTTTGAACAATGATTTTGACAAGAAATCATATAGTATAAAATATCTTTGGTCTATGGATGCAATTAGAAGTGAATTATCAACAAAAAATTTTAAAAAAATCATTGCTTTTGAAAGAAATAAGTATTTGCATAAGTTTTGTAAATTAAAGAATGTTAAAAGCTATACAAGTTTTATACAACAACCAATAAAATATTTAATTTTTTAAAAATAAAAATATGAGTAAATATTAAGTTCTAAGCAAGATGCAAAAAACTTGCTTTGAAGCTTTAGTACATTATTCCTTATTGAAGAAAGTGCCCATCTTGAAGGTAAAAATATGAAATCTTTTCAACTTACTTGCTTAAACATGAAAAACATTATAACATTGGAGCGATTTTAATGAAGCATAGGAAAAGTGAGCTTTCTATACAATAGGTGTAAGTTCATCTTTTTTTTTTCATGAAGCTTCTTTAGTACCAAATAAAAGAGAATAAATATTCCATTTTTTTTATTTTTAATCAAAATATAAGATTTTATAAATAAAATAAATATTATTATGTAGTAAAATGGCTATTAAATTAAAAAAAAATTGAGAAGATATAAGATATGTAGAAAAAACTCGAATATACATTGTATAGATATTTATTTG